TGCGGCGTAGTGTGTTACCAATGTTTTGCTTGGTGACTGTGGTCCCAACTGCCTTAAGATCATTAACAAGCTCCTCCCATGTAGTTCTAGGCTGATCCCTCACCTTTCTCATGATCATCCTTTCCCTTATGAGGCAAGATCTTGCATGGAGCTCCTGACCAAGGCCGATTGATGGTTGTTTTGTATTTCTTCCATTTCCGAATAATCGCACCAACCATGGTCTCTTTCTCACAAAGCTTCTTGCTGATGGTCTTGTAGCCCATTCAAGCCTTGTGCAGATCTACAATCTTGCCTCTGATATCCTTTGACAGCTCTTTGGTCTTGCCCATGGTGGTGGGAGTGGTTGGAATGGAAGATACAGATTGTGTGGACAGGTGTCTTATACACCTAACGAGCTGACATTAGGAGTAACTTCTTAAAGTGACAGGACTAATCTGTGTTCCACATGGGCAAATAACCAATCTGTGGGAGCCAGAATTCTTGCTGGTTGGTAGGGGATCAAATACTTATTTCACTCACTGAAATGCAAATCAATTTCTAACCTTTATATAATGTTTTTTTTCTGGATTTTTTGGTTGATATTCTGTCTCTATCCGTTAAAATAATCCTACCATAAAAATGACAGACCCTTCAATTTCTTTGTAAGGTGGCAAACTTACAAAATCAGCAGGGGGTCAAATAAATATTTTTCCCACTGTAAATAAATGTGATAGATGTTGTTATCGTTTTGTGACACAGAGCAAGCTTTTGTTCCATATTGCACAATCCTTCTGCAGTCAAATAATGAGCGGAAAAATTATGATAAATGAATAAAATGAATTAATTCATGATTAGCTTATTCAAGGCATGAGGACATGGATTAAAAAAAAAGGTATGAGGACAATGATTTTGCCCCATGTGCTCCGGGGGTTTTGGCACCCGCTTCCTCCCCCATCAACGTGCCCCCCTCTCAGTCCTTCTGTCACTCGCTTGCCATCCTTTTCTGCTCCTCTTTTCCATCCCATCTCTCAGTTCCAACCTCAGCAGCTCTCACCCCTGCTCATGTCTCTCCTAAATTTTCCATTTGCCTTTTCAAAAGCGCCGCCTACCACAGATGGGCAACCACATTGACCAACTAAACAACTCCTCAGGATGGCCACAGTTACAGGCTTTACCATCTGATCAGTCTGTTGAGGTGTGTTTGATGTGCCCGTGCAAGAGTGTATGAAACGTTACATTGTGAGAAAGTCCGAGAATAAACGAGTTTATGACTCATTACATGTGCCATGGTGTGTGACTAACAGTTAGTTGTGCCAGTGTGTCACAGCATTACGAGTAGGTGAGGAATTGATGTCATAAACCGCACGTGGGGAGAACCAAGCTTCGCCGAAGGATTAAGGCGACAAAAGCTACAAAGGCTGCACAGCGCTAATGCGGCAGCTGGTTGTAAACCACAATGGAATGGTGTGATATCCTTCATGGCAAGCCAATAAAAAATCCCTCTGATTAAACAACTACAAATACCGTAGAGACTGAGCCAGTCTGGACATTAGAAGTACAAAAGAGTCATCAGGAGAGGTCAAATCCATTTATTTGCTAGACTGAGCAACCATCATGGACTAGCAGTGAGAAATCAGCCATATGAGGAGCCAAGCTAATTTCATAACTGGCCACAAAGGGCGAACAGAAACAGGAGGAAGCCATCCAAACAGGGCAAGCCTTCAGCTGGACCGTAGGGTCAAAATAAGCAGGATGCTGCTTTGTTAAAGGAATACTTCACCCAAAAATGAAAATTGTGTCATTATTTACTTACCCTCAAGTCGTTCTAAACCTGTATGACTTTTATTCTGTAGAACACAAAATATATTTAGCAGGATATCCAAACTGTCCCTTTCCCAACACAGGCTCATTGGAAATTTGCACCTCTGTTTCTTTGCGCCTTCTGCTACGCCTACGTCATACGCTCAAGCGCCTTGTCGTGAACGCGCCTGCTTGAGGACAGGAAGCTGGAGATTACAGTTTATAAATTTTTAAAAATCAATATTTTTCTTACACTAACGCATCGTTTTGCTTCAGAAGGCCTTTATTAACACCCCGGAACCGTGTGGAGTAGTTTTATGATGGATGGATGCACTTTTTTCGGCTTCAAAAACAGGGGCACCATTCACTGCCATTTATACAGCTTGGAAGAGCCAGGACAATTTTAAATATAACTGCGATTGTGTTCGTCTACAAGAGGAATGTCAGATATGCCTAGGATGCCCTGAGTGTGAGTAAATCATGGGCTAATTTTCATTTTAGGGTGAACTATCCATTTAACTTTCAATGCAATGAAAAGAGCAGCTTGGACACTCTGCTAATTATCCTCTTGTGTTCCACAGAAGAAAAAAGTAACTTCAAAAGACATAAGCATCAGTAAGCTGTGACAGAACTTTCATTTTTGGGTGACCTATTCCTTTAATGCCCAGCCAGACTGCAGGATCACTGGTGGTGCTGAGGGCAACAGCAGAGGATCTGAATGGCAGGGTCTGTGAGTGTGAGGATGCCCAGGGGTCTGGCCGAGACACAAGAAACGAGGAGGGGCTGTAGAGGCACACATCCAGGTTGGGCAGCAGATGCAACCAAAGAGAAGGCTAGATGTACTGGTGGGGTGAATTAATTTTCCCCAAAGAATAGCAGGCTGGGCAGAGACGTTTGTGAATGGGCACAGGTGGCAGTATATGTGCACACTGTCCTGGTCTACTGAATATGACTGACATAAGCTTGAGGAGATTAGCATACACTACCTCCATCATAAACAATATAACACAGAGGAGCAGGAGAGATAGATGGATACTGTACATTATTCAAGGTCCTCTGACATTGACAAAACTCAACAAAAACTGTCCTGTAATGATTTTAATATCATTAATTGGTTTGATGTACAGTAATATAGACGTCACATTAAAATCAATGGCTTCAGAAATTACTGAAGAGAAAACCAAGTCAAAAATGTATTGATTTTGGCCAATGGGTCAAGGTTTGGCCCAGTGAGCCTCTGCTGTCTTTACTACACTATCTGTTTCAAAGACCATCTTTCTACATCAAAAATCCAACTATATATAAATCATTAATATTTCATTATGATGTAGATGTCTGTCCAGTGCCTAATTGAAGGGCTCTAAAGTGGAGAATATGGATTGAAATTTGTCCCCGTCTGCTGCCTGTCTGGCCACTGAGATTCATGTTGAAAAGCTGAAATTGGAAAGCAGTGCTGGCAGGAGTTTAGGATAAGTCATGAGCGTGGCATTGCTTTAATGAGTTGGATTTTAAAGACAACAGATTGTCAACTTTGCCCTGTGTTGGCACTGCAACACGACCTGTAATACACAAAAGTATTACAAAAAATGAAATACTTAATCCTGAGTGGCTGAATAAGCTTTATTGGTAGACGCTCAGTTAATTAATTCATTTAATTCCCTCTCTCATTTTAATTAGATCCTTTCCAGCTGAATGTAAATTGTGCCTTTTACAAATTCTGGTCTTGGGTTGAGTGGGTTAAAATGTGCATCAGATAGAACTGAAATATGATGAAAATCTCCAGACAGGTTTTAAGGATATGAATGTAGTGGGTTTGTATGTGGACATGGTTGATTTGGATTTCAAATGCACACTCAACCAGCACTTTACCTCAAGAAAATAAAACCGGCTGGAGATTTTCAGTAAGTGTGCGTAAATGCTTGGTGTGATGCAAGCAGAGAGGACGCATCTGCACTGAGTAAATGATTCACTTATCTTCAGGGCTTTGAAGAACTGGCTGGCTGGGCTGCAGATAAAGAGAGGTTTAAGAGTGTGTTGTCCCGGTTATACAGTTAAATGAGCTACAGGCTGACTGCTAAGAGTGAAAATCTGTAATAATATTATTTCAACATCTGGGTCACAATACAACACGTTAGATTCAAAATTGCGATATATTGAATTTACTTGTTTCGCTTTCATCTGCTTTGGGCATCAGTGCAATTACATACAGTTCAGCATTTGGTCAAATATAAATAATTGAGTATTTGTTGATCTAATAAAAAAGAAAGTTTGGGAACACTTTACAATAAGGTTCATTAGTTAACATTAGTTAGCTACTTTAGTTAACATGAACTAAGTATGAACAACACTTCTACAGCATTTATTAATCTTAGCTAATGTTAATTTCAACATTTAATAATGCATTATTAAAATCAAAAGATGTGCTTGTTAACCTTAGTTAATGCACTGTGAATTAACATGAACTAACTATGAACAACTGTATTTTCTTTAACATTAACAAAGATGAACAAATACTGTAATACATGTATTGTTCTGTTTGTTCATGTTAGTTAATACATTAACTAACATTAACTACTGGAACCTTATTGTAAAGTGTTACCGAAAGTTTTAACGGAATCTTACTGTTAATGGTGATGAACCTCCCTTTAAATAAATGTAAATCTAAACCTAAAATGATCAATTAAAATAATACAAAATATATTAAATATTATACATTTTAAATAATACAAAATATACAATAATATATAATCCTGTATATATAAAAATATATACACATGTATACGTGTACTGTATATACAGTACTTTTTTACACGTACAGTAGATTGATAAACATCTCAAAGTATACTTCATTGTCATTCAGTTTTTATAGTGACTTCTGTGCTAAAGCAACTCATGCTGGAGTAACTGAAAAGGGACAGAGAAACCACTGTGGCCCTTTAATTCAAATTTAAACTAATTATGTCAGACATTTTAAGTAAATCTAAATTTTCAATTCAAAATAATGAGAAAAGTGATTAACATTTTAATGAGCTGGGTGAAATGGTAATCTCTTTTACTAACTCAAGGGAAAGTTGATTATTGATTCAGGGCTACAGTGCCGTTATTCATGCTTCAGTGCACCCCGACAGCCTCCTTTTTATGGCTTATGCAAGTGTGTATTTGCATGGGTGTGCAAATGCGCACATACACAAAGCAAAGGTGAGCGTGCAATTGTGTACAAGACAATAGGCGGGGGATCGCTTGCAACAATAGGATGCAAATTTATAGAGGCATTAACATTTTCAATGTCGCAAATAACCTGCCGAAACAAAACATCTGTGACGGCAAGGTCACTACAACGGAAGACGTTACGCTTATTCAAGGGACATGATCATGGCATGACAGGCTTTAATGGGCTGCTGCAGACTCTGGGAGTCAGAAATGCCCGAAATTATTTATCTAATTTATAGGTATCTTATTCATCCGTTCTTCAGCTTCATTTATTGCTTCATAACTCTGGGCTGACCTGAAGGAGCAGCAGTCAGAAAGGTGAACCGTCTGGGAATAATTATAAGCCTTGGTGAGCATCATAAAAGCATGTGCAGTGATGAGCAGATAGGGAAAAGATGTACTGATGGGCTGTATGCAAATAAGTTCACAGTGAGAAGAGAAGGGCACCTTGAACGTCTCTCTTATGTGCACACACAGGAAGAAAACAGAAATATCTTAATTTGCTTTCAACCAGGGGCGTTCAATCCTTCACATGGAGATCTACATTCCTGCAGAGTCAAATTCAAACCCTTGATTAGCTGGTTGAGTTGTGTTTGATTAGACTTGGGAAGTAAACTCTACGGGAATGCAGATCACGCTCAAGACGCTGTCAATAGGATGTCTGAACGTGGTGTACAGTGAACAAGCAGCCACTGATTTCATTTACAAAAGATATTCATATTCTTTTTTTATTCCAAAGGATTTGTTGCATTCATTAGACATTGCTGAGGAGAGAATGCCTGGGGTTTAGTGGTTTAAGCAAATCAAATCTAAACAGAGGAACGCTTTGGCCCAATTTCCCAATTTCCTCAAAGACGAACCCAGTTGACACCATCAAAATATATAAACCCATTAAGCCACTCTCATTAGCCGAGAGCTTGTTATTGTTCATGATCTCAGGCCCACGTTGGTTCCAAGTCCCATTAATTCCATCACATGATGGCAAACAGCTAAAACACAGACCTTTCTCCCTGGTGCACCCATTACTCGAAGAACCGCTCCATGATGCCAGATTGATCACCCAAACCCAATAATAGTAAGAGAGAAGATAGCAGTAGGTTTACTAACTGTATTCCCACTCTTCCTCCATCAAGCTCTTAAACTTTCTTCTCTCCTTATGCATTTTCTTCCTAATAGGTCTCTCAGCCACTTAGCGTTCAGTCCACTTCAATCTACTGATAGCCTTCTGGCAGCTCCTTGGCTGGTAACGGTGGAGATTGTTCAGAGCAAATTACAGCTCTAATATCTTTCAATTACTGCTAAAGCCAATCTGGCCGTGCCGGAGAAGGCATCTCAGTACACTTTATACAATTATGTCATTACTCCAGGAGCCCCTCCGATGGCCTGTGGGACTGTCAGGCAAATGGAAAGAAAGAAATCTCTCCTACAGTGCAAACAGTGCAAATCGCATGTGCCCAATGAAAGTATGTGAAAACCAGCAGGGATACAATTGAAAAGTGTTAAAGACTACTCACACCTATGCACACGCCTCTGTATTTTCAACATTTTCAGATTTTAAATCGAAACAATTGATCTCTGGGATTAATTTTTTGGAACATCACATATAAAACGCCTCTACTATCTGACAGATATTACTTTTTAATAGGGGTCCTGAGAAATCACACCTTTTTCTGATACAGCCTAAGCCTCTGTAAGAAGGGGGGAAAATTTGAGGAAGCTATTTATCGGAAATGCTCTTTGCCTGTCAATCTGTGCATGCTCATTGTTCATGCTTTAGGAAGGAAGGGTATGTCTTTGTGGATAGGGACCATCTAATTCAGTGGTGGTGGTGAAAAATGTGGTGAAAGTTAGCAAGACTTCTGAATCTCTTACAGCACCTTTAAAGGAACAATTATCCAAAAATGAAATTAAATGCATCATTATTAACTCACCCGCATGTCATTCCAAACCTGTATGCCATTAGTTTTCTACCAAAAATATGTTTTTAAGAACTGTCACATAGATTTTATTTCCATACAGTGGCAGTTCATAGTGGCCACCGGTTGTCAAGTTCCAAAAAACAAGAATGAAATCATTACAAAAAGCCATTAAAGTAGTCCATACAACACGAATGCTATTGTCAAGTGCTTTGAAGTCGATACAATAGCTTTGTGTAGGGAATGATTAGTCATTATTCAAGGATAATTGTCACATCCACTGCAGCACTCAAATTACATTTTATTATCATAAAAATACTTTATTCCTTCAAATATATTTAATATGTGGTTTGACATCATGACATTGGTTAAAACTTATACTGGAGAACCAAAGACCAAGCTACCGCATGAATTCAGAAGTGCCACTTTGAATATGAAATTAAATATTATGCATGTCAATGTACACAAACTATTTTTTGTGTTTGACGGTAACATAACATACGGGTTTGGAATGTGTGAGTAAATAATACCAGATTTTGTATTTATGGGTGAACTATTTCTTTGCGTCCAGGTGCTTCTGACGAAATTCAACCAAACAAACACAGTCAAAAAAATAATTAAATGTGGAATATGAAATCTGCAGGCTCCACAGGACAGACATAGATATGTCAGACAGTGACCAGCACTCTGATAACA